AATGGCACAACAGGCAGCTCTCTTTTAACACAGACTTTTAAGAAGGGATGGACGTTTGCTTCAAGTTATAGGCCAGGTAAGTGAAATGATATGCTGTATGAGGTGTTTTCTGACTAAAAGCAACAAAAAAGTCATTTTAAAGTGGTTAAGCAAATAATAATATTAATCGGCAGGGATCCCCAGACCAATGCGTGTGCCTCCTCTATTTTAAAACCCACGAAACGCCACTGGTTTCATAAGCAACAAATCAGCATATTAGAATGATTTCTGAAGGATCATGTGACGCTGAAGCCTGGAGAAATGGCTGCTGAAAGTTTTGCTTTGCCATCACAGGAATAAATTGCATTTTAAAATATATTTGCATGGAAAATAGTTATTTAAATTGTAATATTTCACAACATTACTGTTTTTATTGTATTTTGATCAAATAAATGCAGCCTTGGTGAGAATAAGACTTCTTTCAAAAACATTTTGAGCAGTAGTGTATAATTTTGTCAACTTTTAGCAGTATACTAGCAATGGACTAAAAGTCACAAAACTCCAGCTCTCATTACATGGGGTCTTTCAAATGTGATTCCTAACTGAGAATGTGTTGTGGTTTATTCATAATTCTGTAAATAGGTAGAGAGATACGGGAAGGAAAGCAATGGACACACAAGTGTTTGTAGACTGAGGGTGGAGGGAAAGACGAAAGACCAGAGAATGTGGGAGTGAAAATATGTGGGAGTGTTTGTTTGAAGTGTGACATAAGTGTTATGTTAACATTAGCTGTGCTGGTGGGTGATGTATGATAGACAGTCAGGTTTATTGGTTTAAAGTCAGAGAAACAAATGCTGTGAGGTATTTTAAAGTATGAGACAGCAATTTGTTTCAAATGAAATCTAAATATAATGTTCTGTTCATGTGTATGTGAGCTAGGGTGTCTTATTTACAGTCTAGACTGTTTCAAAAAAAATATTACTAAAGATTTTCGCATCTATAGTTCCATATAAGATAATAACTCTCCCACAAAATGAAAAGTCTGCCATCATGTATTCACTGTCATGCTGTTCAAACCCATAATAAGTCTTAGTATCACAAATAAGATTTGAAAGCCACGGCAGACAGCATTTTCAGCAAATAAAGCTTAAATTTCAGTGTGTTCCTCACATAAAGCTATCATATGACAGAAGATTTGGAATATAATGCAGTCGTATGGACTACTTTCATGACACATTTAGGCTTATTTTATTGTTTTATCTTTTAATTTGGAAAAAAGCAGCATGAACATTCTGCTAAACATCTAATTTTATATTCCACAAGCAGAACATAAGGGTGAGTATGTATGAGTTTTCATTAATTTTCAACACTTTAACAAATGCACATTTCCTGTAAAACCAATGCACGTGAGATTCAATTACTGAGTTGGTTCTCAAGGAAAAAGCAATAGAAAAAGAAACAGAGGTGCACTTGGACTTTGAAGAAGGTCACTTCCTATGTTAAGTGATGTCACAGAACTAGAGGAAGCAGGCCATGTGGAATGAGGAAGGAAGATAGTAAGCTGTTCAAACTTTAAGGAGGCTGAAGCTCATGCACACACACTCACCTGACATCAGTGAGCTCGTAGTACACGTTCCTGGTCTCGTCTTTCACATAGATGGCGGTGCTGGGTGACTCCAGCATTTTCATGTTGAGCTGATGAGGGAAGGCACTAACGAACAGAGCTCTGATTGTATCTACACTTGTTATCTCATTAGGCATGCGTATCTGCTTTGTGTCATCTCCATACTGCAGATACAACACCCCTGAAAAAAAAAAAAAACAGAGAAGAAACGGTGAGAAAAGTTCAAGGCATTATTCGAGCAGCTACTTGCAACTATGCAACTAAAATTCTGTAGTATTTTGTAATAAATTAAAAACAACACTTAAAACTAAAATCAATCTTTTAAAATCTTTTTACATGAGTTTAGGCATCATGTACGGTATGAAAAATGCTAAAATGACTTTTAATAGTGTTAAGACAATTTAACACCCGTAATATCAGATGATATCTGATATGGCACTGATGCATCATGCATTTGTACATATCGATTAGCCAATTATCTCTTCCTCCATGATACTCTATGAGGGATCCACCCAGTTGTGGGTGTGGGTGTGTAAAATCTGGTGGGAAGAGCATGTGGGTGAGAGAGAGAGCAGTAGGGTGTGGCAGAATGTTCTGGGATAGATGGATGGAGGGAGTTTTATGTTTGTCACTTGTTCACAAGGGACTATATAAATGCATATATGTGAAATGTGTATTATAAAACATTAGTTAATTCGACAGACAGACAGACAGAGAGAGACAGATAGATAGATAGATAGATAGATAGATAGATAGATAGATAGATAGATAGATAGATGGTGATTTTGAACAAAAGATAGTGTTTTAGACAAAAAAAATCACTCAAAAAGTAAGAGAGATCACAAAAAAGAAGTTGAGAAAATTGACTCCAACAAACTCCCATATAATTGCATCAACTCCTGAATAAATGAGAATGTGAGCGTTTGCTGTACTTGTAAACAGGCTGTGTTGATGTCTGGAAAACCAGTCTGCAAACCTCCAGTGGTTACTACGAAACTGTCAATCAAACAGAAACCAGACACAGAAACGAGACGACGGTTCTCGCTCACTGCATGCATGTAACTTTCACTCCTTCAAATGCTACATTTCCACTCTGTAAAATCATTCATGTAGCCAAACCAGATCTGCATGTTGACTAAAGAAAGCATGTTGGATATTTATACCCTAGTAAAGAAAAGCAGATCTATTTTTGTACTTTATGAATTCTGGCTATATAAACCACATGAAGTGTTGAAGCGATGAATGCAGCTCAGTGAAAACATTTGAAAATGGATGTGCGATAATATCATAATTGTTGTCACTCAGTTTGCAAAGACCAAAAAATAAGGATTTTCTATATATCGGAATTGAGAATGAATTGTGACTTCATGAATCAAATCAAATTGTGAGATCCCAAATGTTTCCCACTATTTTAGACACACTTTTTTCATTCAGTGCGGTTTCTTCATTCAACTCACTTTGGTTTGGAACAGTTTCTGAAACGCTACCCTACAATTTCACTCTAATGACCAGCATTAATAACTAATTACCGAGCATCAAACAATCAACAGCATATAATTCAGACGAGCACCTTGGGCAAAATGCCAAGCCACATCTGAATGACTGCTTTCATCACAATCACATACAAACACTCTCAGCCAAACTCGACAACCCTCAGAAGCAAAAGCTTCTAATTGTATGAATTTTAATACAACCACATGAGACATTTCAATCATCTATTCATACTGTTTACTGTGGAAAAATGTAATTCATTCTAATTACAAATGTATTCTTATATCATCCCACTGTCTCGTTGTCCAACTGAAGACAACCTTTTCAGTAACCTCCCATCTTTTAAGAAATTACAGAAAAGTATTTTTTCTGTTCATTTTCTCCATAAGGATCAGTGTTATTTTAGTATTATTTATATACTATTATACTATTTATTCATATTTTTAATTTAGCTTTTATTTTTTATATTTTCAGATTTAATTTTAGTTAAATTTTTAGCATTTTTGTTATGTTCTTTTGCCATTTTTATTTTTTTATATTTCTACTTAGCTTTAGTTTCCTTTTATTTCAGTAATACTAATTTTAGTAGTTCAGCTTAAACTTACATTTTATTTCAATTAGTTACCAAAGCAACATTTCTCATTTTCATTTATGTTTTTAATCTAATATTTATATATTTTTTAGTTTCAGCGTTATTTTAAATACCAAAAAATGACGTTTAATAGTTTTATCCAACAATAAAAAAGGATAAACAAATAATAACAACAAACAGCTTTGAAATGAATGTCCAACTTTGATTTGAATCCAAAATGCATTTGAAAATGAGAAAAATAATTAATAATTACAAGATTGCATACTTAACATCTTATACAAAGTCATGAACTGCACACCCCATGGTGCACTGCGAATGATGTAAACAAATATAAATGGTACAATATTAAACTACTGGCTAAACGTCAACATGCAGCTGAATAAAATATGACATATTTGAAGTTAATTACAAAATTACAAAAAGTTTTTGTTACAAATAAATTTCTGTAAAGGATAAATAAATAAACTTTTTACTTCCAGAACCTATACTTCAAAAGAAGGTCTTAAACAAACCTAAGACGACATCTCTCAACAGCGACTGAAACTAAATATCGCTGGCGCTGAACTAGATGAATGATGACTTACAGCAATCGGGTCGACGCTGAATCTCTCTAATAGATGCACGTCTCCTTGCCTTTGTGTTCCTTCCTGATTAAACAACATCTAGTTTCTCTCTGCAGGTCTGTCTATATCTATCTTCTCAGATTAATTTTGAGGGAATAGTCTGAGTGAACACACAATTTCTCCCCATAACGGTCTTTCCATCTGGTCCTTGTTTAAACCAACCAATCAGAGTTGAGCAGCCAGAGAAGGCTCCCATTTCAAGGCCTGTGTGTGTTTGACCGTCATTCTATCTGGATGTAGGGAGAATACAGAGTGTGATAGTGTACTATATGTGTGTCTGTATGTTGGCAAAAGAGTCCTATTTCCGTGTGTTTCTGTGTGTGTCCACAAGCATGAGTCTGTGCCGTAATATATGCCTGTGCGTTGTTAAGTACAGGCTATGAATTTCAGCTCTGGAGCCTCGTATATTTCCATTACATGAAGCGGTAATGACAGAGCCGAATTCGCTGTTATGACATTGAACTTAAATACAAGAGACAGACAGACAAACTTAAGTAAACACACTTCCACAGATGCTTTAACTCTGCAACTAAATCATTTAGCAGCAGACGGGAAATAAGTAAAGCAGCAGTGCGAGATCACTCATTCACAGACCCCCAGAACTTCACAGAAAGCTCAGCGGATTTCCGCAGAAATCGAACACCCATCATTAATACAATTTGACAGGCCCCGCAACCTTTGTCAGTTTGAATTAAATGGGGAAAACATATTGTATGTGTATTGTATAGTTTTTATTTAGCTAGTTGTAGGGCTGCACGATTTGGGTGAAAAAATGTAATTGTGTTTTTTCCCCCCCAATTTTTTCCTCAACTGCAGTTGAATGAATGAATGAATGAATGAATATAGATTTAATAAATCTAATAGGTCTGCATGGTTGCTATATTTGTAACGTGTATTTACTGGGGGTGTAACGATACACGTATTCGAAATGAACCGTTCGGTACGAGGCTTTCGGTTCGGTACGCATTACAAACCGAACGATTCGTTGGACTAATCCTATTACATTTGGAAAATAAAAGAGCTTAAAGAGTGAAATATAATGTTCTCAGTGCCACTGCGCTCAACAAGGCAGCCCAAATGACGTAACAGGCAATGTGCTGTCTGCCCAGTGGTGTAGCGGACAGCCCCACGATAACTTCCCCTTGCTGGGTTGCGTCGAAAGACGACGATCTTGTATCGACGATAGCCAGATATTGTCAAAAACATCAATTATTCGGCGTCAGATGCTAAAAGCTCCGTCATTCCGTTTTTACATTCGCTTTCTGCATAGTGAATTGACTGAGATTAAGACGTTCACTGGCATTAGTTTGCACGTTGCTTATGTGATATCCACTGGCTCGCCTTCGTGGTTTAAAACATATTACTTCCAACATAAGCAATTATATATATTAATTTCTGAAGTAAGCAATTACCCCCACCCCACCCCCCTTTTTGAAAAGGTACCTAAACCGTACAGAACCGTGACACCACTGTGCCGTATCGAACTGAACCATGAATTTTATGAACCGTTACACCCCTAGTATTTACATATAATTTAGTATGTGCATATCAATGTGTATACCTAGTGAGCGATCCTTGGTCTGGTTGGTAGAGCGGACCACGGGCAGACTGGCTCGAGACCGGGAGCCTCGGGTGAAGGCGATGGGCATGTCGCACTCAGACATGACCTCCAGAGCATCTAGAGAGACCAGTGAGCCGTGCTCCACCTGATCCACAAACACAGGCACTGGACTCAAACACGCCACACTCTGCTTAGAGCCTCGGCTCTGTAGAAAAAAGAAAATAAAAGTTCAGATAACATGCTGGATTTGATGACACATCATTAGAGCAATTCCTCAAAACCATCTTTGGCTTCTCTGGCAAACAGATCATACCAACTTAAGATGTTACGGCTGTTTTTAGGACAGTGGTTGGTTCAAAGCGGTCTACTAGCACAAGCCAGCTTGATAAAGACATTTTGACAGATCATACCAGATTAAGATGGTCAGGCTGGTTTTTTAGAACATGTAGCTGGTTTTAAAGTGGTCTACCAGCATTAACCTGCTTAATAAAGCCATTTTTGTCTGTTTTAGGACATGGTAGACTGTTTTTGGGATGTGGTAGGTGGTCAAAGGCATTTTTGTCTTTTCTGCTTGAAAAACTAGATCATACCACTGTTGTTTAAGAAATGGGAGGTGGTTTATAGCTGGTTTAAGTGGTCTACTATAGAAAGAACCAGCTTGATAAAGCCATTTTTGTCATCTCAGCTGGAAAACTAGATTCTACCAGATTAAGATGACCAGATGATTTGATGATATTAGGGCTGGACAATAATTCAATATCAATATGTATCACGATATAATTTTTTTCAATAACGGTGATATGATTTTTAAACACATTTCCAATATTTCGATATTACCAGTGTTTCCCATACATTGATTTATTTGTGGCATTTGATTTCGTTAAATAAACATGAGCAATGCACATTGTGTTTTATATGAATGAATCTCTGAAGGGAAAGGACTGTCTTCAGAAAAGTTTCGATGACATATTTTTATTTTTATCTGATAAAGTAGCGTTCATGAGCGGAGCTGCTTAGATTACAGCCGTTACCAGGGAAACCGCTAGTTCCCTTTCGATACTACACTCGTACTGCATCTTGCTAGATGCATAAAGCCTTTTTTCTTTTCATTCATGCAGTGAAACTGCACGGCCATTGGTTCAGTGCAGTGTATTAAAAACGAACCAATGGCTAGGCAGCGGAGCTGCACGAGCCTATGGCGACGAAGCCCGCCAAAGCCCGCCAGAATGGGCGGCACATCTGGCTATATAAGCGGGCGTTTGCCACAGGATTCTCAGATTTCTTCTCCTTCAGCGACGACTCTACATCTTCAAGCTGATCCGAAGCCGCTCGCCATTGACACGCCTTCGCAGCTGGAATCGGGACCTCTCAGCACAGCTAACCTGATTCTCCGCCACTTCAGCGACGCAGCAGTTCCGGTCCGTTTCCCCTGCCGCCATCCAGTGATACTAAAAGAGCTACTAAAAGACCTTGGCATTGTTGCAAATGCCACGCCGTTACTGCGGTTCGTGCGGGTCTCCCCTGCACGCCGATGACGGCCACACGGAGTGCGTTTCCTGCTTGGGGAAATCCCATGCGGAAGCTGCACTCACGGGAGCTATTTGTTCCCATTGCGAGAACTTCAGTCTCGCCTCTCTCCGCTCACGGATCACTTTCTTTTCAGAGAGCGACTCCGCCCCCGTGCACCCCCATTTTCTTCCTGCCAGGGACCTGTGAGGAAAAAACAGCGGGGCAGAGGGCTCGAGTGACTGGCTGCGAGCAAGCCCACGTCGGCCCAGATCCCGCGTGCCTCGCTCTTGCCCCAGAGAGAGTATTCTCCCGTCCTTTTCTCCCAGTCTGATCAGCGTACCTCTGCTGGTGCGAGCAACCTGGTCTCATTTGGGGGAAGAGAGGACGAGCTGCTTGATAACAGCATGTCATTGGCAGCATCGGATGCAGAGGAGCTGTTGGGCTCGGTGAATGACCCCACCCCCTCGCCATCATCCGCACCCCGCGCCACCAAAGACGGGATGGATGTAGAGCTTATCCGTATCCTCTCCAAAGCGGTTGAAGAGCTGGGTTTAGAGTGCTGTCCGCCAGAGCCCCCCCGCCTCCGTACTGCTTCTTCATCCGCCCTCACTTCCATCGACGGCGCTGAAGAAAAAGGGTACGATAAGCCACCTCCTCTAGATGAGTCAGTGGCTGCGCATCTCTGCATGCCCACGGCCATCGGCTAAAGAGCAAAGGCCGCTCACCCATCCAAGCCGTGTAGGACCACTTCAGCTCTCGCTGGACGCGCGCGCCTACACTTCAGTTGGACAGGCGGCTTCGGCGCTTCATTCAATGGCGGTCCTCCAGGTCTTCCAGGCCAAGATCCTCGCATCCTCCAATGAGTCTGGCCTGGACCCCGCAACCCTCAGGGATCTGAGGAGCGCAACCGACCTGGCTCTGCGCGCCACCAAGACCACTGCCCAGGCGATCAGGAGATTGATGGCCAGCCTTGTGGTGCTCGAGCGCCATTTGTGGCTGACGCTGACAGAGATCAAAGACGCGGATAAGATCCCCTTCCTCGATGCTCCAGTCTCTCTCAAAGGTATTTTCCGCCCGGCGGTCGAAGGATTCGCTGAGATCTTCACGGAGGCACAGAAATCGTCCCAGGCTATGCAACATTTCCTGCCTAAGCGCTCCAGCTCCGCTGCTGCCTCTGCTCGCCCTAAGTAGCCGACTCAGCAGCCCGCAAAACCAGCACCTGCCGCCCCCGCCGTTCAGCCCGTTAAAGCGCAGCAGACGCGGGGATGCTCTCGCTCGGCCAAATGCTACCCTCTTCCTAAGCGCCAAGGACCCCGACCCAAGATTGCGTTGGACCCGGCGCCTCAGGCACCATCCTGATCTGCGAGACAGGAAGAGGACGGGGTCAGATCTCGCTAAAGCGAACGGGACAATATGGCATCCTCGGCCCGACCTATGGGCCCTGCACCTCTGGCCGCTTGACGGGAGCCTTCGAGCCTCCCAGAGCGAGTCTTAAACACAATTTCGGAGGCTTTTTAAACGAGACGCCTCTACAGTGGTCTTTTTTTTCCGCTTGGTGTCTAAACCGTGGCAAAGACCCTCATACTTCCGCCTCGTCCCCCTACCGTCCCTTCATGGGATCTGCCCACTGTGCTGAGGGCCCTGAATGGCCCCGCTTTCGAGCTGCTACAGTCTGTCAACATTCGGTCGCTATCGCTGAAGACTGCTCTGCTTCTAGCACTGGCATCAGTAAAGCGAATAGGGGACCTGCAGGCGCTCTCCGCTTCGTCGTGGACATGGTCCAGTGGTGTGTCCATTGTGGATATTTGTGAGGCGGCCGGCTGGGCCTCGCCGTCCACATTCGCAAGGTTTTATAACCTGGAAGTCCCGGCCTTGCAGGCCAGGGTCCTTTCCGCTTGAAGTGACATGCTCTGCATAAACAGATCTGGCAGAGAGCCCTTGGTCGTATCACGCTCAAGCTCTCTGGCATTAGTTCACCTGTTAGCTCTCGACCCCTGGGTGTCGAAGTTACAGGAGTACTCTGGAACGATTAACCAGGCCGGCTGTGACCTTGGGAAGCTCAGCCCGTCTAAGCCTTGGGTTGTTGTTAACTTCTCTATGGGCATTGCTTGCTTATGGAAGTTTTATACTTTTAGTCGTCCACTACATTAGCACGGCGTGATTGTACTGTGTTCCCATATGCGTCTAGCAAGACGCAGTACAAGTGTAGTATCGAAAGGGAACGTACTCGGTTACTAATGTAACCTCGGTTCCCTGAGATACGGGAACGAGTACTGCGTTGCTAGCCATGCTATGTAGCTGCACGACTCAGTCGTCGCTTCAGTCGAAGTAATCTGAGAATCCTGTGGCGAACGCCTGCTTATAAAGCCAGATGCCCCGCCCATTCTGGAAATTATAGAAATTTTATTTAGCGTTGCAAATTTACTTTATTTATAATACTTTTATTTAGCAAGGATGCTTTAAATTGATCAAAAAGATTATAATGTTACAAAAGATTTCTATTT